AACACGTATGAACAGGAAAACAGAAATAACCCTTTTCCCTGTAACTTATTTTTGTTTGGTTTTTTGGCAGTAATACGATTTTTTAAACAGACTTTCAATTTTATCAACAAATTTGCAAATCGTAGCATTTTAAACCGGAAACACTAATCCGGAGATATTACAACACATGATTTATACAATCCCATCTCTCCTTAAATTTTGATAAATATTGTTTTCTTTTGTAAATAAGATTTTCTATTTTGTGGAAATATCTTATTTTATTAATAAGTTCGCCTCTAGTTGGTTTTCTCTCCTTTATTTTACAAGTAAAAATATGGAATTTGGTAATGAGTAATATAAGGTTAAATAACATCTTATTGCTAACACACTTTAAACCAAATAACATGGACCATTTATCTAGGTCAATATGACAACTGTCGCCGATATGGTTTTGAGTCCTAATCCAAGAACACTTGGGTCTAGCAACTACCTGAAGCGAGGAGTTCGGATTCAAGTTTTTTTTATGATAGTATAAGTTTGTTTGAGATATCTCATTAAATATACCATCTGTATTTCCATGTCTGGAATTAGTTTGAATTATGGTTTATTATATTATTATTTATTAACAACAAGGATCCACGAAAGTTCGAATACTTAATTTTACAGTCCAGGTCCAGGTGGTGATAGATAGTAGGCCTACACCGGGAGACAAGTTCTCTAAAAGTGCTCCTCTACATCAGACATGCTACCAGGATGGCCTAATATTGTCCTGGATGTTGAGAGTTGGACAAAAAAATATTGGTCAGCAAAAGTGTATGACCAATCATAGAGCAAAGAAACAGAAACTGTTTCTTTGCTCTATGGACCAATCGACCCAAACCAAAGTTGAATTAGCACTGTGCCATTGCAATATCATGCGAACATTCCTTCTATTATTGATTAAATTATTATTATCGCTATAATTTAATACAGATTGTATCAACAGCACTTGAATATGATTAACAGCTGGATGTAATAATTATCAGAGATAGCGAAGATTTATTTATTACATTGCTGTAAATAATTTACACAGGGAAGACATTCCGAGATAAATACACGACCGCATGATATAGAGTTATCGCCTGCTATTTGTTAGTAATTTCCAAAATGATAATAACGATATTTGTTTTAACGAAACAGATCAAATAGAATTATGCGTACATTAAGCCTATTATTAAGGGCATGACAGAGGCAGATTTGTCGCTAGTACTGCTGTAATTATTAATAGGCCTATTGGCCTAGCTCCCTTTCTTAAAATCATTGATTTCGGTTTCTGAAGTCCCAAAACTACAACGTAAACTGTATGTAAACGCGTGCGTTTGTGGTGGGAGAAAACGGGGCAAGTGCTTATTCTATGCTCAGATATGATGGTCAGTTGTTAGGATTGACACTCCAGAAAGATCCAATATATAGGCCTATACACATTAGCATAGGGTAATAACGCTATAATCGCTTTGGTACTTTTTAGTATTAGGCACTACAGTCCGCCCTTCAATTCGAGACCACTCTAATTCGAGACCACTTTTGCAAAGTACCGACTTACCACCTATCTTTTAACACTGAACTTACCCTCTAATTATGAGACCCTTCTAATTCGAGTACCAAGTGACAAAATGACCTCCAATTCAAGACCACATTTAAAATAAAATCAGATTCTAAATTTTTTTAGCAATACTCTTTAATTTGAAAAATTTAACTTCAAAATTATAACAGATGTATTTTCATAAATTTATGCTATTCAAATTCAGCTCCAACTGTGCAGGCCCGTAGAGGTTTCTAATTTGAGACCGAACCCCGAGACTATCCCAAATTTCAGATACACAGAGTGGTCTCGAATTGGAGGGCGGACTGTATATATAAATATTTTATATAACTTTAGGTCATTTCTGAACATAGATTGTGCACTGTGTAATAATTAGCAGATGCTATTTTCTCATACATTATCGCATTTTGAAGAGCATTACGTCATACCCGCACCATAACCATGATAAGATCATGGAGGAATTAGTTTAGAAAAGATATAGAACATTTCACCAGGGTAACCCAAACTATACTATTCCCCAAGTGTTATAGACGCGTAAAGTATGCTACTTTGTATAAAGTGTGTCATCCCCGTGAAGTATTTATTATATAAATTGACAGACGAGGCAATGGATAAGCCTACTTATAATCATGGTTCGGTTTTTGTTGTTGGCACTGGCCATCGCGGCCGCTACGGCAGACCAAGTTAGATATGATGGGTAAGTTTAAGTTAAAGGCAATGGCCGACATATTCTTGTTCGTTTTCTTAGCTACAACACAAAGGTTGAAGTTATGCGCCAACGTCACATAGCTATCAAGAACTAAGTTTATCATATTATAGACGACGTTAAAACGCCGATCAACCTTACTGAGAAATGAAAATGGAAGACCCAAGTAAAGGCCTTGTATGATGAGGGATGCAAACTTCGTTTTGTAGCGGGAAAATGGCGATCATCTAATGGCATACTCCATGATTTCAAATAGAAACTTTAAGGACTGATATTGCCTTGATGTCAATATCTTAGAAACTTTCAGAAATTTATATTTCTCCTATTTCGTTATCACATATCACTAAGTTTTTTGTAACCCCGTGGATAAATGATCTATTTATTCTAGTATTAAAAAATAATAATTTCTATAATTTATTTTTGCAACATGATTAATGTTTTTCATACAGTTTAAATATCCAAATGTCTACTTATAATTGATTGTAAGTAAATTGGAAAGAAGCTTGCTTCGGATAAATTTATTCAGGTTTTTTCCAATATTTATATACTGTATATCTACTTCTTTTGCTAAATTTGCTCATTTGCATTGGAATATCGTTTTCTTATACAATCACTAGATTTATATATTTAATATCTATTTTCGAAAAATTGATATTGTCTATCAAGCATTTGCTTATAGTTAATTTTCAAGTGCGTTTTATATTTCCGCCCACTTGTATATTTAAGATCTAGTTTACTCCATTTTTACATAATATAGAAACGTAAACACTATTTCAATTTATTTTATCTGCATACGTTGCATATAGTTAACTTATTTGCATAAGCTTCATTCCAGACGAATAAATACCGTAACTAGCTTTAGCTCCTTTGTTGAAATACTTACGCTCTATATTGTATACGGTACCTTATTGTATTACCTTATTGTATTACCTTACGCTCTATATTGTATACCACGTATCTATATAATATAGATACGTGAATACTACTTCACTGGCAAACTTATTTACATACTGTTAAGCCTAAACAGGTGCAACTCAGGCCTATAATGCCTTTCACAAAGAGTTGAACACTTTACTTTATACACTAAACACATTAAAATAACTTGTTGTAGGCGAAATTTTAGAAAAGAACGCAATCCCTGGATTGAAACAAAACTTTAAGAAAATTATCAGAACTAAAAATCCGTCTGACAAAAACAGCTAGACATCGTAATAAATTAGCGCGTCTACTTAAACTTGCTAAAACAAATTATTACACTGAAAAATTTAACAATTTAAAACATGATATCTATAAAACATGGCAAACAATAAACACTGTTCTGGGTAAGAAGACTAAAAAGGTCATGCCTTCACACATGCTGCTTAATGGCATCAAAATCACTGAACCTCAAACTGAATGTTTATAAAATGAATATTTTATAAACATTGGTACTAGACTTTCAAATAGTATCAATAGTAATTCATGCAATAACTCAGTCACTTCTTTTTTACCTATGCCCATCAATGATTCTATTTTTCTTTATCCAGTTACAGAGGATGAGCTCTGGAAGGTTAATATCCAATTTAAAAGATAATAAAAGTCCAGGAATGGACGGGTTTTCCAACAAAGTTATAGAACAAGTCTCATATTTTATATCCAAACCTCTATTATATAATCTATATCAACTGGTGTATTTCCCGCCCCTTTAAAAATAGCTAAAGTTATACCCATATATAAAAAGGAAAATCCTCACCATTTTAATTTATAACAGATTATACAATTTTCTTATTAGGAATTCAGAATAATGCTTTATTTCAAATTCAGTATGGTTTTAGAAAACACCACTCAACGGAACTTGCATTTTATTGACATGTATGATAAAATTACAGTTGCTTTTAAGAGAAAAGAATATGTGATCGGTGCTTTTTTAGATCTTTCTAAAGCGTTCGATATATTAACCACAAAATTCTTCGCAATCTTGAAAACTATGGTATCCGCGGCCTTCCGCTCCAACTTTAAAAAGCTACCTTTCCAATCGCTTCCAATATACTTTTGTTAACTCTATTGACTCATCTCTTCTATCTATCTCTTGTGGTGTTCCCCGAGGATCAATTCTTGGCCCGCTTTTATTTTTAATTTACGTTAATGACCTACCCAATTCTTTCAAATTATTCAAGTTTGTTCTGTTTGCAGACGACACAAATATTGTGTTTTCTCATAATGACAAAACCTTATTATTTAACATTATGAATAATGAATTAACTAAAGTATCGAACTGGTTCAAGCTCAATAAATTATCACTCAACATTTCTAAATGTAACTACATAGTTTTTACTCAGCATATTATGTTATCAAATCCAAATAGAATTTATTAATCGACAATACCATCATATCTCGCGTAAATAAAACAAAATTCTTAGGCATCACGATTGACTCTAAACTTACTTGGAAATCCCACATTATGCAGGTTTCCAACATAATATCACGAAATATTAGAATAATAAATAAACTTAAAAAGTTCTTTCCAGCTAAAATTCTGTTAACCTTATATAGCTCTTTAATTTTACCTTTAAATTTTTGAAGTTTGCAAAATCGAAAAGAGAAGTTAAACGCACTATGTCGGAAGGCTAAACTATAAAGCTAGACTCCTGACGAAAAATATTTTTTTCATGAAAAATTCGGAAACAGTTAATGAGATATCTGATTTTTTAATTACCTTCAGCTCTAATATCGGCGCTGGTTCGAACGGCTCACTCGCCAATGGTTCCGGTGGTGGAACAAGTCTTCTCGGATAAGGACTTTAAACCGTAGGCCAATGTGTACGCATTTTAAAGAACCCAGATCATTCGAGAAGAGTAGGGAGTTGCCCCGGTGTACTGGTCCATTAAGTCCCATGTTGTTAAATGGATATGCCACGTAGGACAGTGATCAAGTTCACTTATTGGCATATCGTTGGCGCTCGTGCCTAAAGAAATTAAATGAAATTATTATTAATATTGTCATTGTATTCAATGTGCGTCAATGTGTTATGATACATACCTTTTCTAGATATCAAGTGATCCGTATCAAACCACAAAATGAGGGTGATTTAGACTGGTTGCATAATTTGGAGGAAGGAATCGATGGGACGGTAAGGTTATGTTCCTATTTGACCCCAAATTTGTTTAAGCCCTTTGATCACGTTACCTGTTCTAGAATAAGTAGTAGTTATTTTAAATAAATTTCGCGTCGTCTGGCGTATGTAGGCCTACATAAATTACAAGAGGCAATCATTGTGAAGCAACCACATAGGCCTAGTCACAAACTGAATAATTCCAATTCTGCGTCTAGTCAGATCGGCCTATTACAACACATGGTACAATTTTAGCTCATTAATAAATTTGTAATAAGCGTCCATTTTCGAATAAGGGTTTCTTCCTGTTACGCACCACACTAAAACATAAAAAATTAGGTCCACATGGCCTATTAGGTCATTTACGGTAAGGGGGCAATACAATGATAAGGGACTGAATTATTTTATGTTTTGTTAATGAGGTATGTCGGTAATCTTTGTTTACCATACATAATAATTTCTTATAAGGGCCTCTCTCGACCCAGGGTCACTTACAGTAGTGGGTTCAATCCAGGGGTAACGGACTGAATGATTCTAAGATAAATATTTTTTGTTAATAATCTATATTGGTTATCAGCATCATCATTGACAATTATTGTAGCCCCAAATGACTCACTGGAAACGTTCTTGTATACATAAAATCATTACACGCTATCGCCGACGCGGCTTTCGGCGGCGCTGATTGCTCGGTAGAAATCTAACCAGTGCAGCGATTGCAGCGACAACGCTGTGGCGACAGCGTAGTGATTTTATGGAAACCAGACTGACGCATGTTAATATCAACATTTTTTCCCATTTCTCAGTTCGACTTTTGGCAGAGTAGCCGTGTATTGGGCCGTCCAGTTGACGTTATGGTTTCCCCTCACCATATCGACCATCTCATTGTGCTTCTTGGTGCACGCGGTCTCGAATTCGACACCCATATCTCGGATGTTCAGACCCTCATCGATGATCAATTCACTCCTACAGGAATCTTGGATGGAAACAATGGGTTCGACTACTCCAAGTATCACACCTACGATGAGGTATGCTGGTAATCGTTATTTAACATCCATCATTATTAAACTACGCATGCATAATCATTGCTTCTGTTACATAGGCCTAATCAACCTATTGTAGGATTTTGTAATGATGATGATGATGATTATGATGTCATGATTATGATGATAAATATGACGATAATGATAATAATGAATATGTTGATATGACTAGTAATAACGATTATGGTGGTGATGACGATGGTGAAGGTAGTGATGATGATGATGATTGTAATGGTGTTGGTGATGATAATGATGATGAACAATGATAGGTTGTGGGTGATGTTGACGGTAGATGACGATGACATTCGAGGCAAATACTGAGTCATAGATACCTCCATGGTTAAATGATTCTTCACTCTACTATAATCCTCAGAGCGCCAAACAAACCACACGCTTTCACTATTTGATAATGTTGGTTGTGACTTTTTCAGATCCAACAGTGGGTTGCTGATTCTGCAGCAGCCCATTCTAACATCGCAGAATCCTTCCAAATCGCTACATCAACAGAAGGTCGCGCAATCAACGGCCTAAAGGTAACATATGAATAAACGAACAAAATGTGTCATGTCTTATACTTGCACCGTTCCAATTCTGATATCAGTAGAATGGCTACTCTGTATTTATTACGCGTCAGGGCCACCTCCATGGTGGCGCCAGTTGGGGGAGGGGTGGCCGGGGGACCAGGGCCCCCGTCTGGGAGAAAAAGCACAATTCGTCGGGGAGAAAAAAAATGTATTTTTTACATATTAGTAGACTCTAAAATCGATTAAATAGGACTAAGCCTTTGAAACCCCTAAGTTTTCAAAATTTCCCGGGACAACTTTCGAAACCTTTTAATCGAAGCTCGACACTTTGCTTTCGTCGGAGAAATCTGACTCCTCGTCGGGGGAATCGTTCCCCGTCGGGGACCTCGCCCCACACCGCTCCACCCGGTCGGGCAAATCCTGTCGCCACTCCTGGCAACCTCATGTGTACGCAGTTGTAGGGCTTTAATGGAAAGGTCCATGGGCGCCTAGGGGCCCAGCTTGTCGAGCAGCAGGGTCTAGATTGGATCTGGGGTAATTCCGCTATAGAAGCTAGTCATTTTATGCATTTTGCAAGATTATTACCAGTATTAAAAAATGGGTGATATTTTTTCATACCTCTATTTGTATCTCAAATGGCCTGGAGTAATGCCTACCCGACATACACGACAGGCATATTATGTCATATGGATAATCCTTTACAAATCCTTCAACAGATTAATGAAGCCCTACTAAATTACAGTACTGTTACTAAACAATATAGTATAGTACATACTCCAAGTATCGAAATGCACGCTATCGTGTCGGGATTCAATACTTCAACATTAATTATGTCATCATCATTAAACAAAGTTTTTAACTGACTGTTCTATAAATAGATCGGAAAAAAGGCCAGTGGAAAGCCCGCAGTCTATTTCCAAGGCGGTATCCATGCTCGTGAATGGATATCACCGGCAACCGTCATGTATTTCACCAACCAAGTAAGCTTTCATCTTCTTCGCTTGTTTAATTGTTATCATTATTGCTGTTAATATAGAGAGGTAAATAAAACTGGAAGGCTGCATTGGCAAACAAGATACCGTAGAAAATTAAAACAACAACAACAAAACCCCCGGAGAGGTGGTAATAGTTTGCCATGATAATTTTAAATTTCAATGAGCAAACGTTTTCGGTTATCAACTTTTGTCTAGGTGGTTTGCATAATCGTCGCCACCGTATAGGTGTCTGTAGTGTTGAGCTGTGATACTCATCAGACAGACGTTTTCTCTCATACAACTGGAAAATTGCTTGGTAGTCTATACTTGATAAGCTTAGAGGCCTACAGTTGTATTATCTCGTGTTCTATTCGAGCACGGTTAGCCTATACTAATATATCCCGGTGTTGGGGAAACTTTTCACGCTTGCAGATTATACACACACACACACACACACACCTGTCTCTTATACACATCTAGATGTGTATAAGAGACAGGTTTAATTGTACGGGAAATCCACTCACGATGCAGTACCGTTACGATTTATAATCGTACGGGAATCAACTCACGAAATATTTTCTAATTTTATTATATTACCACCTTTTTATTACATAGATCTTTTTCCAAACATAACTGCTTTTATAACATTATATAGACCCAATAAACACAAAAACTGCTTTGGCTTCGGGGGTTTCGTCCCCGACCCCTCCGGGGCCCTTAGGCAGGCCTGGACCCCACGCTCAGAGAACCCCCCCCCCTTGATATGACCTGGCTACGGGCCTGATGACCATCTAAAAAATAAGACAATGGACCTTTCCGCTAAGCCCCGCCCCTTAGATATTGTTGCTAAGGTCTCGCAAAACGACAAAAACATTACGCAAACACGCGCATTTGTGGGACTACACGTGTTTGTGAGGCACGTGCTTATTATTCCTGGCCCTCTTCTGATTGATCAATTGTTAAGTTTCTTTAAATGAATGTTAACAAATTTAATTCAACATACCCCCACTTACTAAGGTCGTAGAAACCCGCATATCTCAACCGAAACAAACCAGACCTATTCATCATGGGCTAGGGAAGATACTACACCTGCATGCCACTATACATAACTTTGTACATGAATGCATGCTTCAAATTTATTAATTTGTGTGAATATTCATTTCCTGTCGTAGGTTTACGTTTTTCTATGCCTAAAAGAATGTTGGGTTACTGTTTGTAGTTTAGTTTTTCCCCTCTTCATTTTCTATATTTTAAACTTTATATATGGATTAGAAATTGGTGATTTCTTGTGAAATCATAACCGTAACCAGTTGATTATTATATGTGTTGCTACTAATATTTAACACACTTGCTATAGGATCGCATGTGGAGGAAGACCCGCCGCAGAGAGGCTGGACGAACCTGCACAGGTATTGACCCCAACCGTAATTACGAACACAAATGGGGAGGTAAGACAAAACGTTTATATATCCTAGCACTTTTTGTTTATTTCCTTTAAAAACTAATTCGTTTTTCGTGATTTGCAATTTATTAGCCAATTTTAGGGTCTATACAAGAACGTGTTTTAATTAGATCCTACGCGAGTCAATATTGTTTTGTTTAAGGTTAATGTTTCCTTACAGATATAGAATATGACTTCTCAATACATTTGTTACTAATCAGAATTCGTTTAAGTCGGTAGAAGCCAAGCATTGTTGCCTGATAAAATGTGTTAATGCATCAAATGTTATTTTTGAACATTTGTATAAATCGTTTATAAATGTTTAACTCTGTTGCAGGCGCTGGTGCTAGTACGAACGCTTGTTCTGATACTTATCGCGGTTCGAGTTCCCATTCAGAACCAGAGGTTGCTGGAAGCACTAGTTTCCTTCTGCAGAAGAAGCAGACCCAGGATTTCCATGTATTCATTGACTTCCACGCCTACTCTCAACTCTGGCTGGCTCCATGGTCATACTCCAAGACTGCCGCTTTGCCATCAGATAGTAAAGATCACGTAAGAGTGCATTAAAATATGGTTTTTTTCAATATTATTGGTATTATCATACTTAGCATCAGCATTGTGTGTAGGTTAGTTTGTCAGAAGATAGTGCTAACAAAACGTTGCTGCACAGTGTAATTTTGTCAGAAAACGTTATCATATATTGTTACTGTCTTTAGGATGCGATGGGTAAGGCGTGTACAGACGCATTGAAAGCCGTCCACGGAACGCAGTATACATATGGGCCATCGGCAAGAACTCTGTGTAAGTATCCATATCATTGCATTTCTTTTCTACAGAATATTTACACTTCATGATCAATCAATTGGATTTTAATTTCAATGGCTGAATTCAATTGACGTGTTTATTAGGTTATATTTTTATAGGCCTTATTAAGTTTTACTCATGATGACCTTAGCATAGCAAAACATTGTGTATCGAGTTATGAAGTTTAATGTTAATCTCTATTATTATTATTATTATTATTGTTATTGTTGTGTACAGTATAAAATTATTCTATCTAAATATACATTCTATGAAATACTTTCAAATGTGACAGACGCCGCATCAGGTTGCAGCGTAGACTGGGGTTACGCAACTCTTAAAGCCAAATATTCATATGTTGTCGAACTGAGAGACACTGGTAATTATGGATTCGTGTTGCCAGAAGACCAAATCATTCCATCAGGCGAAGAAACTTTGGCCGCCGTCAAAGAACTTGGAGAGAAAATTATTGCTGAATTTACTTCTTAGACACGTGACACTTATCGACACGCAAATTTTAAAAATATTAACATCGAATGCAACTGAAAACTGTATTATGAATGTTAAAACGAAACACTTCTTTAATATTGATGTACCGATAATGAGCGTAATCATTTCTTTAGGTTTAGGTATTCAAACGTGCGATATAATATCAAACGAATTAATGCGATTTAGCTAACTTACCAAGCTTTCGAATTATTGACACGTTTGGAAGTTACAGTATTTAGAAGTGATTTATTAAAAGGTTGGAATTTATATTCTTTTGTGATTTCTTGAGGAATTTATTCAGTGGCAGATTCAGGGGATTGCTTAATTCACCAATACAAACTTAGATGGGTGCGCAATTGTATGAGAAATATAAGAAACTGCATCAACACGAAAAAAAAAAAAATAAAAAAAAAATAAATAAAAATAAAAATAATTAAAAACAAAATAATAATTAAAACAAAATTCAACCGCCTAACACAATTCACTGTCCTGATATGGTGTAAAAAATAATGATTTTTACAAAATGAATTATAAACCCCATAAGGAAATATTAATAACAGGTTGATATTGAAATAATTAAAACTTTATTCTTAGCTGAACGAGGTGCAGAAGGAGTACAGCTTGTGGTGGTCATGATGATGATGATGATAATGACGATTGATTATGAAAATTTATTATGATTGATTATGATCATAATGATTATGACGATAATGATTATAAGGTATACGATGAGAGGTGCTGATAATGATGATGAGGTGGACGATAAGGATGGTGAGAATGATGATGATGATACTGGTAATGGTGACGAGTAGAAGGGTGGTGATAATAAATAGGAATATATGATAATGATACTAAGATACAACCAATTTTACGAACTCGTTACACTTGTAAGCAATGACGATAGAAAATGAAATAAATAGTACCCGGAACCACAGGAACTACCACAGCCAAACTGAAGACTTGGATGATTCTGATTTAGCAATGCTGAATTTATTTCTAAACACAAATTCGTTAATCAAAATTAGCTGTTGATACAGTAAAGAAATGAAAAACAAGCAGTCTATGATATGATATGCTAATAGTAATGTAAATCTTATAGTTTCTTTATGGCACGAATGCGATTATATTAACAGCTGCTCATGTTTATTTAAATTATTACAAAGCAGATATAGTTGGAGTGAATAATGGTGATGTTTTGATCTACCGTTATGACATATTATAAAACTAGCATAAACGAGAAAAACATGGTTAATTGTTGGCCAAATTAGGCAATGCTGTAGAAATAGACCTGGTGAGAATGATGATGATGATACTGGTAATGGTGACGAGTAGAAGGGTGGTGATAATAAATAGGAATATATGATAATGATACTAAGATACAACCAATTTTACGAACTCGTTACACTTGTAAGCAATGACGATAGAAAATGAAATAAATAGTACCCGGAACTACAGGAACTACCACAGCCAAACTGAAGACTTGGATGATTCTGATTTAGCAATGCTGAATTTATTTCTAAACACAAATTCGTTAATCAAAATTAGCTGTTGATACAGTAAAGAAATGAAAAACAAGCAGTCTATGATATGATATGCTAATAGTAATGTAAATCTTATAGTTTCTTTATGGCACGAATGCGATTATATTAACAGCTGCTCATGTTTATTTAAATTATTACAAAGCAGATATAGTTGGAGTGAATAATGGTGATGTTTTGATCTACCGTTATGACATATTATAAAACTAGCATAAACGAGAAAAACATGGTTAATTGTTGGCCAAATTAGGCAATGCTGTAGAAATAGACCTAATTGAAGAAGTGAACTATCTAAATAAACTATTTATTAAAGTTAGAAATACCTTTAGGAATTAAGGAGTTAGAATGTTGGGCATACTTTTTCTTTCATTTTTTTTTCTAGAAATGGAGCTTAATATGGATTGCACTTGCAATCTACAAATTGCGGTACTGTTCAAATTTTGTATTTCTTAAAGCGTTTTTTTTTAAGCCGATTCAGCGTTGTTAGGCACTGGTGCATTATAGGATATTTAACATTGTGCAACGTTACTGTGGAAGCTCACACACGAAGGACAGTGTATGATAGCATTCCGTATCATTCCAAAGCAATATCTCGTCATTCGACTTCGTGACGTGACCACAGTCTTCATTTCCTGCGTTGTTAGGCTCCCCCTGTTTCCAATTTGTATAGGATGCTACCGTATCGCTGTCAGACCATACGTAAGTGCCTTCCTCGGCTATGTCTGACAATCCAATCCAATAAGCTCGATTACTGGAATCAGTCGATCCACCGGTAGACGAATCCCAAAGATGTGAAACAAACCTATTTTCATCTTCACTTTGGATAGAGACTAGATGGCCAGTTGCCTTCTTGTTGAAGAGTGCTTTACAACTCTCCTCTGCGTCTGCCCAATCCAATCTGTTCCCGAAGACGCGGTAGCAACTTCCTTGAAATGGAACCCAAAATGCGGGACATTTACCACATGCTTGAGCAGTCGGGTAACCTTTCGGTGGTGGTGGTACTGCTGCTGCCAACGAGGCACAGATACCTAGCAACAATGTCACTTTGCTGTAGAAGAAACATACATATGGTTACCCATTTTTCATTTACATCTTAATAAAATCAAGGCACAAGCATTTAATTTGTCATTAAAATAGATATATTAGGCCTAAACCTTTGTTGTCAGTTTGCATTAATAAATCACTTTTTAAAGGTGTCGGAAGCGGTCCGGCTGGTCCGGACCAATAATTTACAACTTAATAATGTTTGTAAAAAATATTGTACTTTTTCTGACGCAATCCTTTTTTTTTTTTTTTTTTACAAAATTCTATTACCTGACTTCAAGCAACAAACAAACCAGTCAACCTTGTCTAAATTTGGTTGTGCCAACCCTATAAGATGTCTTAACCTGAATGAATATAATATAATAAGTATATTGAAGTGTTCTACTTATTAAAAAATCAATCTTTTCATATCTCATTTATACGGATCAAATAAGTTATGAACTACAACGTAAAAAATAAAACCAACATGTTTTCCCTGATTCAAACTTTAGCTATAACACACATCTTCACAATAATTACCAGTAAATTAATGTCTGGTAAAAGAATATAGAAGCTGTATTATTTATACGTCTGTTAATTTACGAGAAAATATTTTATCAATTTATTTAATGTATCTTTATTAGTATCACGTAAATAATAATTTGCCGGCCCCAATCTAGCAATCTTTATTCAGGCCCCCCGAAACCTCGACTCAGAAATACCGGGATGGTGTCCAACGGGGTATAGTTTACCTCTAAAACTTTGTTAGGTATAGATTTTTTTTTTATCTTGGTATTTAAAAGCGTTACATGTTAAAAGCTTTGCTGCTAATGTAATTCCTTGCATCTCATTTTCATTTATTGTTTTTGACTTTAAATACTTTAAATTTTATATTGCAATCATACATGTGAATATGAATGTGACTTTATGAAATAAATCGAAATAGAAACTAAACAATTGTATATTAAAACGGCTGTTTATAATATTAAATTCATTATCTAGGACGTTATTTGACTGCACCTTTAATAAAGCAAGGATTTACTAAATTAAAACTGCTAAGAAATAATGCAGTAAAGACAAACATAACATATTTTTAGGCAACTTTATAAAATGCTATACATCTCATCAGAAGATAAATACTCATTTTTATAATGATTGTAAAAAATAATGTAATATACCATGTGCAATACGAACATATATTTCATTTCATGGCATTTAATACATATATTTTATCCGGCAACTCGTGTATATAAACATGGATGAAAGAACATAGATATTGTTTTTAATATTGTATTGCATAAATCTTGTAGGTCTACTTGTGTATTTATTTAACGAAGAAGCATCTCGTTATTATTCTTAATTAAAGGCCATAATAATCTGTCACACTCACAATAATCAGTTTATATTCAATTTATCAGTGATATGACCCTTCCCCTCTCCCACCTCCATCACGGGCCAATCTGTGGTGCGGTAGAGGGAGTGGGGATTGGGATAATCGCCACTGGCCGGACCAATGAAAATTGCTTCCGACGCATCCACTTGTTATTGTGGTAGGCATAGCATCTGCAGCGACAATGGTGTCGGACTCCAAGTGGCAGCATACAGGATGGAGATCTACCTTCTATACGTTACTCAATAAATACATAGGCCTGTTAACCGTTTAGAACTGCCGGTAGCTAAAGTATAATGTTTTTTGCAAACAACTCTTAGAGATACGGTAGTGTACTTCATAAAATACGCGGCATTTTTTCTAATCATAGACGTCTATAGAAAATTATAATGCATTTTAAAAATTATATTAAACAACTTTTTAGACTAAAAATAAATTTATATAATACTCAGAGATTTTAAAACCACTTTGCTGTGTTGATTTTACTAAATAACTTTTGAGCAACTTTAACTTTATATATATTGTAAACGGTAAAGACGAGAAATTTGCGAGTGTGAAAAATCGCCCTACCGGAATTGGAACCCAGTGCTTTCTGTCTACATAGGCCTACATAATAATGTCATCTCAAACATCTTTGAACGTCGTAAGAATTTGTTACCTTAATTTATCAGCAAGTTTCGCTATACGAGATCACTAATATTAAAATAGGATAACAATTCCGATGGAATAGCATATGTTTCAACTTGATACTAACTGAATTTTCGAAAAGCTTCACAACCATAAAATCTCTGAAGTTTGGTAACAGTATTGCTCATAGTAGAGTTGGAAGGTATAAATTACATATCCTACTACAAAAAGATCTAAGTAACCATAATATTAAAAATAACCTTTAAATTATTTTGATGCAATTTGCATCAAACCATTCAGATTAAGAATTTAGTCAAAATTGGAAGATATTTGTTTTATATTTTAAGTTTTGATCTGCAACTCACTTAAACTGTTTTCTTTTTCTCTTTTATCATTGACAAGATATATATTTTTATGTTTTTGGAACACAATAGAATATTAATAACAAAATAAAATAAAATAATGACTTATCAGTGGCGGATCAAGGAATTTGAAATAGAAGGTGCCCGGAGAGGGACTTTCACATGTAGAGGGTCTGTACTACCTCAGCCCACCATGGTAGATGGCCGGAAATGGCACTCCTAGACTCAAAATTTAATTCGAATTTTCTTTTTTCTATTTTTTTTTCATTTTTTTCAAATTTAGGGGTGGGGGCCTGGGCCGACTGGGCCCCCCTTGAATCCGCCTATGCCTATCATCATTTATAATTAGGTCAATATTAAATCGAATACATTATTTGAACATAGATACTTACAATAGCATTGCTGTCTTGCAAGTTCACTTCGTAAAGATGGTGGGAATGATAGAGTATAACTTCTTGTGCAATAGGCGTTATAGTCCCGCATAATTTATATAACGCTCAAGTCAGTAAGACTCACAAGTATTTTTTTTTGTCGTTTGATCAACCAATCACAACCAATTAATAATTATTTTACATTCTGGATTGGTTAACTATATATACGTCACTCGTACTACGCAATAATCTTCGGCCAATCAAACCAAAATATCGAAGTTATTATAAAAAGAACTTACTTTTCAACCGGATTCTATTGGACAAGCCCGGGAGTTTCCGATGTATATCATGCTAGAACTTCATTAAAAATATCTCGTGAGTTCTCTAATCTTATAATCTCCTAATTATAGCCTTGATATGTTGAGAAAATACACAGGGCTGGATTTATGGCCTGTGGTACCTGGGACTGTACTTGCAAATGGGCCTACTCTGTGGCTAAAAGTAAAACATAGACCAGATTTTCTGTGATTTTTGCTGGGGTGTATTTTCCCCATTGGGGCATGGGCTATAAGGATGGCGCCCCAAAAGCCCCTGTGTTAATCTGGCCCTGAAAATATATTAAAAATGATATTTGCAGAAGAAAAAAAAATGATGAGATGGTAAAAATTAAAAGATAAACAACAAGGTCAGTTAGTGTACTCCTCATCCGGTTCTGTCCGATGCAGGATTATATAACTGGTATCATGGGATTACTGAAGGCCAAACGAATCTATGTTTTTAAAGTATTTCATTGTCAATTTTTATCGTAATCAATATCAGTATTATATTGGCAAAAACAATGGGACTTTTCTCTCGAAAATCTTTGTTTATGTTGTATTTTACAAATCAGTTTATATTTTTTTTGTATTTGATTGAATATTTAAATGCGAACCCCTCACGAGTAAAATGCTTAAGCGTCCCGGAAGCTGTGGCGGCTCCATCGGGATGGGACTGGGACTTAAACAACCACCGGCAGGTCAAGACCCCTGTCGTCGGGCACTGATGACCATGACAAATATAAAAATACCCCCACACCAAACCAACACATATCTGTCACACCCTGAGAGGGCTATTTCCGGCCATACATCCAAAGGTTCCTATTCTTGAAAAAAAAATCTCATTTGGGAGGGGGAGCCAACATATGTCTGTCACACTCTGAGAGTGCTATTTCCGGCCATCCATCCAGAGGTTCATATTATTTTATAAAATCTTATTTGGGAGGGGGAACCCTTCTCCCAGTTCGGCCTACGAGCTCAAGTCCCCCTGTCGGAGAGCTTTAGCCCCCATAAAATATATCATAAAGCCGCCACTGCCCAGAAGGGTGCAACCACCCCCACCCCACGGGTTCCCATCTAGTCCCAATTATAAACATTTCAAATGTATGCCTATACTGCAAGTGGACTTATAATTGGGATTTACAGAAACAGACTCGAACAGTTAATAATCTTCTATCTACTGGGTAACCTGTCCAATAAATTAGTAATATAATAATGAGGTTTAGGGAGCGGAGCTTTTCAGTTGTGAGAAAAATTCCTGTAACATTGACAAGAATGGCGGCATTTATAACCACCAATCTATTCAACTCCACTCCGTTACATGATCGTATAATAACTAGTGTACTTACTGGTAGTAATAGTAGCCTACCGTGCTATCATATTATTCTTTTGAGGTTTTTGGTTAGGCTTGTAATCAGTTGTAATAGGTGGTCTATGTACGATATAAATGTATATAGATATGGTTTGCAATATTAGAGTGAAAAGTTAATTGTTAATTTTATACAATATGAAGAAGACAATGATATATTTACAAGAGATGTATGGTATTATTAAAAGTCAATATAATTTACACTGAGACACTCAGATTGTTGAGATAGGCCAGAGTAAAGGAGCTAATTATTTTCAAGATGGTGCTATTCATATTCAAATCACTCAATTTTCTCTCTTTTTGTATCTGCTTTTTGTCTTTGTATCTCTCTATAGCATATCATAATAATTCTTATTGTATTTTTCTTGCTGCTGGGTGAATCTAACAACCTCCCTCCAGCCGCCAAGACACAACTGAGGGGTTGCTATAGTAGCCGACAACTGGACTGGATGAAATCTAATGTCATACAGAAGACTATTTTTTTTTTCTTTTTTAAATAGTTGTTTTTCTAGTCAAATGTACAGTAATGCTTTTCACTGGATTAGATGGCGAAAAATGAGCTTTCCCGACATTTTTTCCCGGACGTCACCGGCTATCGTACCACCCCCTCTGGATGCGCCCCAGGTGTATCATACATGTTAAGACAATCAATATGTGAAGCCCAGTCGGCCGGCCAGGTACTACAAGATTAACATAGGCCTATGTGCAAGAATAATATTCTAAAGCATAATATTGAATACTGTTATGTCTTCAACTATAACTTTAGAAAGACATTTACAAATGAAAGCCAAATTTGAATACTGTACCCTAAATTTTGGAAAGACACCAATCTTTTTTAAAGTATATGTCAGTCTCTGCCATACAGACTATTTGGATAGTTTTTAATGATCTTCAAAACGTCTTAAAGAAGTAACGCCAAATTTATTACCTATAGCCTATATTAAAGAACTGTGAACCAAGAGTTTTGCTATGTCGAAAAAATAGGTAACTGATAAAGAATGTAGTAAAAACTAGATCGTAAAAACCATGATAAAAGTTCTCGTCTAATATTTTGTAGATTTTTGCCATATTTTAATGAACATAAATATGGACTAAAAATATGCCAATAATGGTAAGACACCTAAAATATTTGTGCTACGATATCTTCAAGATCTGTGCACGAGTTTGGGCGGTAAAATAGTATTTGATGGTGATAGGCCTGTTAACGGATTATAATTGATTCGATGTAAAATGTGTAAACTATAGAAAATCGAATAAATTATACAGAAATGCACTTTTTCTCCGCCCTGGAAGACCTCAGAACTGTATAAAGTACTATTATTGAACATGAGCTGATGCCCTGAAGAAGGGTCAGAATTCCCCGACGAATGCAAAGTGGACGTGGTCGAGCTTTAATTAAAAGGATTGGAAATACTAATATGTAGAAAATACATATAATTTCTTTTTCTCCCCGACGAATTGTGCTTTTTCTCCCCGACGAAGGGGGAAGCTCTCCCCGGCGCCCCCCTCCCCCGCTGGCGCCACCCCTGCTCACAAATGGACTTGGTAGGTGTAAGCCTGGTAAACAAATAGATGCGTAATATGTAACGCTTATACAAGAGTCCAAGCACAGGCACTGATACTGGTACTTGTTTAGTGGGCTTGATACAACCAATTACAGCTGATTATAAATTTTTGTTTTTGTTTTTGTTTTTGTATTGGTTAATTGTCTATACGTCACTCGTACTACACAGCAACAATCCGCCAATTAAACCAAACTGTTCAAACATTATGAAAACTAAAGAAAGTACATTGACAACAGATAGGCCAAGTTAAACTGGACACGGCACACATAGCGTCTGGGAAGCTCATATTTTCTACATGTTTCCACTATCACTGTAAAAGTTATTTCTTTTTCTGTACAAAATAAGTCCATTGAAATCACACAATATTGAATTCCATGATAGCTCTTTGAATGTTTTCATGGTGGATTTATTCGGTATAAACACCAAGGATAGCCCACGAAAGTCTAGAAAAAGACTTATTTCCAGTGGGGTCCTTCGTGGTGATTGGGCAGTACACTGACCGGGAGACAATCCCCTAGGCCTACTCTTTTCCGTGCACATGGGCTATAATACACACGGGACCAATGGCTTAAACGTCTCATCCGAAAGACGATGTACTATTTTAACTTGTATTTCAACCCTCTAGCTGAAACACAAGGAGTGGGAATTGAACCGGGACATAGAGATCTTCACGGTTCAGCGCACACAATCATAGTGGCACCACCAGATTAGCTGACTGAGCTAATCTGGTTTTCCGTTTAATGATAATTAATCTAAGCCTATCTCAGAAAACATCATTGTGATTATAGTAAAGTATGATGATAGCAAAGTTAAGATTATTGTTAATAGCAAAGTTAAGATTATTGTTAAGTCTTCACGTCACGGTGACACGCCTGCCATATAGCCAGCCTTTATCCATTTATTATTTTTGTTACTTCTTTACCTTCTGCTGATTGGCGGGCTACATTAAAGACAAAAAAAGTTGCTTGACGAAAAACTCTGAACGGTTAAAGAGTTTCTAAGATGCTTCCATGTATGTTGAAATGAATAAAGATATACAGTATTTATAGAATCCAGAGGTGACGGAACTGAATAAAGATATACAGTATTTATAGAATCCAGAGGTGACGGAACTGAATAAAGATATACAGTATTTATAGAATCCAGAGGTGACGGAACTGAATAAAGATATACAGTATTTATAGAATCCAGAGGTGACGGAACTGAATAAAGATATACAGTATTTATAGAATCCAGAGGTGACGGAACTGAATAAAGATATACAGTATTAGCCTACTGATGTACTGTGTATAGCAGGGGACGATGAAGCATAATTATTAATATGACTAGGCCTAAGTAGACAGTGCAATTATATGTGAGAAAAAGTACACTTTCGAAAGAAATAAATGAAAATAAGAAAAAAAATTAACTAGGGCCTAAGAACAATTCAGTTGCAGACGTACCTTGTTTAAGTATTATATGCTAACTATGCGGCTCTTGTAGCCCTAGCTAGGCAAGGCATTCATGTTCAAAGCAGTGCTGTTTGTTTATCCATGAAAAAAGCACGCCGGGAATGTTTGCTTAACCAGGAAAAAGGTGACGTAATCTAGCTTATGACGTATGCATGCTAACTATAGCGTGGTGTGACGTCACCAAAAAATAAAAAATTTCTATTATAACCAAAATATTAATAACTACAAGGTTTGCGGGCGTAAATTCCCTTAATACAAATTAAGGGTAGCACCATCTCCTTGCCATACAAATTACAGCTCTCATTGACGTCTCAGTCGAGAAATACTGTTAGCTGAAGTTTTTCTCGAAAATCTGACTACGATACCAAATCGAAATTCACGTTCCACTTCTGACTCTGAGTTGTGCTTCGCACACGCCGCTGGGAGCGGCATTCCGGGAACCCTGCGTCTAGGCATTATTATTATTGGATCGTCATTACTAATTTGTTGATGTAACAACATCATATTTTCGTAATACAGTATAGGCCTTATATTTTTTAAATACTAATTGTATTAGCAAATGACTAGGCTTAGGGCCTAGTCCTAGTGTGCAACGTTGTCGTTTTCGGCCGCCGAATGTAAAGGTTAGGGCCGACGCATGCATTATTATTATTGGATCGTCATTATTAATGTGTTGATGTAACAACATCATATTTTCGTAATACAGTAGGCCTATAGGCCTTATATATTTTTAAATACTAATAGCAAATGACTAGGCTTAGGGCCTAGCCCTAGTGTACAAATTCTTGAGTATCTATTAACTGGCAAAAAAAGTTGGAAAAAAAGTTTGGTTACACCCGTTGTTACTAACAGGACCATGAGATGTAGAAGACGCAAGCTACAGTACGCAACTCAACTCCTATTAAGAAGACCATTGTTGCAATGCAATAACTCAGTCTATATAAAGGTGTTTTGAAGTAATCCCCACCAATTTCCTAACACATTTCTGTTAATTTATGACTAAACAGGATACCGTACATAAGAAAGTTCATTAGAGAGTACCGGTATGTGTACATAAGCATAAGTTTTATTATTACCGCTAAAACAAAATGAAAATGTTGAAAAAAGGTACGATATTTAATTATGTAAAAGTTGATAATAGTAAAAACGAAGACTTTGATGCTTCTAATTAATAATGCTAAACTCATTTGTAAATGAACTCATTCATCAACATTAGTGGTTGAATACAATAGACCTTTCCGGAGTGTCAATCAAACTTATCAACTGACTAATCAGAACAGCGCTAGGGATACGCGCGCGTCTCACAAACACACGTGTTGTCCCACAAACGCACGTGTTCGCGTATGTTTTAACACTGTCGTCTTGTGGGACCTTAGCAACAATATCCAAGGGGCGGGGCTTAGCGGAAAGGTCCATTGTCAGAAGATGCAAAACAATAAATGATACATTAAACAGAATGTAGATTTATAGTTTCTAAATTACTCAAGTGTGTAGGAATACACGATTATTTTATAAGAAGATAATATTATTTTGTTAAGTCATATGGGCTCAGACCTTTAAAGATTGATGATAAACATGATCATCATTTTTTGGTTGAATTATATAAAATATATGCATTATTGTTATTTAGCAATACGACATTTACTACACATTTAAAAACAATCTATGAGACAATCTAAGTTAATTAACACCCATTGGTGTTACGTCGACAGTGCTGTTTATATGCGAAATTCTTGGGATGCGTAGTAAAATTTACAAATGAATCTTGATTTGGGTTCGCAACCATAGGTTAGCAAGTGGGGGTACTGTTCATTTTGTATGATCTCTCTCTCTCTCACACACACACTCTCTCTCTCTCTTTTCAGATTTAGCATTACTAGGCACTCTTTCATTATGATTGTTAACATGTGCAATACTACTGTGGCAGTTCACACACGTAGGACAATGTACGATGACATTCCGTATCGTTCCAAAGTAGTATTTTGCCATCTGAATCCTTCAATACATGAGCACAGTCTTCGTTTCCGTGGTTGTTAGGTTCCGACCGTTTCCAATTTGTATACGATCCTTCTTTCTTGTTGTCTGTCCATACGAAACTGCCTTCTTTGGCTCTATCAGACAATCCAATCCAGTAGGCTCGATTACTGGAATCAGTCGAGCCACCGGTAGACGAATCCCAGAGTTGCGAAACAAACCTGTTCTCATCTGCGTTTCGGATAGAAACTAGATGACCGACTACCTTCTTGTTGAAGAGTTGTTTACAGCTTTCTTCTGCAGCTGACCAGCTCAACTTTTTCCCGAAGACACGGTAGCAACTTCCTTGAAATGGGACCCAAAATGCGGGACACACGTTACATGCCTCAGCGGCGGAAGATTTCGTTGCTGTCAACAAAATACTTATACCCAGGAACAACTTGACTTTCCTGTCGAAGAAAATAATAATCAGTTTATCGTTGATATAGACTACTTCATCGTTCTGAGAAAATTACTTCCCTTGACCTAATTTTCACCATGGCCATTTTTTTTATATAGATACTAACGGGTTATAATTGATTCGAGTTGGAATTGCAAAATTGTGGAGATGTCTGGGATAGACAAATTTACTTCTTCAAACATTATAGAAAATAGCACATTCTACTGTTGAAAATATAAAATTCATTTGTGATAATGATAGACGAATACTGCGCACGCTGTGCTGACAGTCGTCAACGTATTTTGTGGTTTCGATCTCTAAAATAGATAGGCCTATATACAGGGATACTTACAATATTTGCATGGCTGCCTCACAAATCGGCTTGGTAGATAATGGATAACCTTTTTTGTGCTTTTGTGTAACTCTTAGATCATAGGTCTACGCTCCACGGGTACTAGTACTTGTTTTAGTGGGTTAACATTGACTGAGAAGGTAATATTAAACAGGACACGACCGGGCCCCGGAAGCTCATATTATTTTCTGCATGCTTTCACTTTCACAACAAGGTTTATTTTTCTGAACAGTCATTTGCCGTTATAATAACTGCGTTGAAAATCACACAGTATTTCATAGTAGCTCTTTAAAAGTTTTCATATTTTCAGTTTTCGGTTTTCCAAAAATATTTGATATGTTGAACAACTGATTTTCTAAGACACAAAAAGCATATGACGAAAAACACGGGAGCGTTTTGTGATACATATTTTTTTATATTTGAAAACTTGAAGAAAATGGTAGTAGAATAAGGAAACATGCCGGTCAACGTTCAAGTAATAATATGATGAGACGGCGGCCAAAATTGATGAAAAAAAGAAAAAGAAAACCACGAACACGAAAAGCATATGTGAACTGATTTGAGACACAAAAAGCATGTGGACGAAAAACTCGGGAGCGGTTAATAAGATACAGATTTTTGAATCTTTAAAAACTGACGTTTAAAAAGAGACGTAACTACCCTCTTCTCCCACCCCACTAGTTTTTGAATATTAAAAAAACTGTAGCTCATTAATCGCTCCCAGGTATTTCGTCAAATGTGCGTTTTATGTCTTAGAAAAATCAGTTGTAAAATATCAACATGTTTTCCTCCTGAACCTGGTTGTCATCTAGTGCGCAGACATAATAGTAACGTTCAAATCAGAAGCCTGCTGATGAAATCTCTGTCAAAGCAAGGACGTATGTTACGTCGTATTTTGTAATATTTGTCGTATTTTGTAATACCTATCGTATTTTGTAATAAACCTTGTCGTATTTTGTAATAACTCTCCGTCGACAATTTTTATTTAATCCCTCAAAAACTGCAAAGGTATACTGTAGTAGAAAACATGCATCTGATGTGTTATTACAAAGTAGACCTACGACAGCTCAGTTTATTACAAAATACGACGGAGAGTTATTACAGAATACGACAGCTCTGTTAGTACAAAATACGATAAGGTTTATTACAAAATACGACAAGGTTTATTACAAAATACGACAGGTACAGTGTATTACAAAATACAATTATTACAAAATACGACGTAACAGACGTACCGGTACTGTATATGGATGCAAAATGTGTAAGTCCATGGAATAATGTTATACCGCCATGATAAGTCGTTGGTCAAAATGTAAGCCCTTGGTCATTCAAAGCTGGCTTTCCAAAATTCAGGGCTTGATTTACTGAAACTTAATAACTTCAACACAATTATATTAAATGACAACTTCGTTGAATGTAAACCATACTCGTATATAATTTAACTAAAAAACTCGTGATTTATTGTCCATAAAAAATAATTTGTTTGATAAGGTTTATTGGAGGCGTCACCTGGCAGAATTCCCCTACTCCCAAACAGAGATAGGAGAAGTAACATAAAGAGTGTAATACTGTTGAAATTTTTAAACACTGTGTCTGCATATTCAACACGTCAACACACAGCTACTGTGTGTTTATTTTGGGATTGGGTTTTCTTGCACTGACCCATCATACGATTAATCATCCTAATAATTCTTTTTAAGCGAATGTCCAAATCACAAAAGAATGAAATTAGCATTAAAATAAGCAAACGTTGTTTTGAAAACTCTCAAATGCCATTGAAATTGAACTGTTCATCTCAGAGGGTGTATTTTTACCAGCGGAGCTTCCGGGGCACGGCCGATAAATGTGTGGTATCCGGTTCAAAATTATCTGCTGCCTATTGCGTATTACGGCCGTACATGTTATACATTAAGAATAACCCTGGATGCAGATATTATCGACTTACTTATTTATGTCTACTTTAAAACAATCGACAAGAAGCCAGCTGCTACGCCAACAGTTTTTGCCACTTTTTCAGTCCTTGGCGTGCGGTTTTGTTTTGTTTGTTTTTAACATAATTTGGCAATGTTTTGGAACATCTGCCTTAATATTAGCAAGCCAACGGCCTTATAATATTCTTCAAAGCTGTAATACTGTTTTAATCGCACACCATACCAATTTAGTATATAGTATTGCCATTCATTGCTGCTATTGGAACACGTTGCTGTTGGCGATTTATATTGTTTGCTTTGCACTGCCGTTTTCCTTTATTTAGACAAGTTAGCATGGTTGATCACGACTAACTTGCATTTATCTTGTTTAACGTATACTTTTATTTTCTTTAATGTGAAGTTCGCATATATATATATCTGTCTCTTATACACATCTAGAAATATTAATATATAAATTTTTATTATTTTAATGAAATTTATTGAAATATTGATATATTTGCATATTATTATATTTATCATAATGTATTTAATAAAATAATCTTATATTTTGAAATTTATTACATTTGTGATAAAAATTTATTACATTAGAGGTCAATGAATTTTAATACATTAGTGGTTAGTACATTAGCACTACATTAGTGGTTAGTGTTTTATTACATTAGTGGTTGATTTTTATTACATTAGTGGTTAATATTACATTAGTGGTTGATTATTACATTAGTGGGTCATACAGGCAGTGGCGCCGAGAGGCCGGGGTAACCGGGGAAAGTGCCCCGGGGCCCGGGAAAATAGAAAATACGAATAGACCTGATAGAGATTCGATTGTCAAATAAATACTGAATTAATATATTAAACCAGTGGTGGATTTGAGGCCCACCTCTTAAAATTTTCGAGATAACCAGTACAGGCTATGTAATTTCTTGAATAAAGAGTATGTCTATGTCTATGTCTAACCATGATGGGGCTGAGGAAGATAGACCTTTCATCTGTGAAAGTTCTTGTCTAGGCCCCTCTATTTCAAATTCCTGGATCCGCCTTTGTACTTTGTTTTGAATTTTTTCAGCAATTTTTTTATGACCTGGTGAAATTAGGCAATATATAGCGATTACATTAGTCCTCTAATCCAAATAAAGGCCGTAGCTTCCGGGTGTACGGGCACCAGGGATCTGTCCCTTGATCAAGCTGGGACCCTAGGTGGCCCTTAGACTCCCAACCAATAGGTCCAGGGAGCGAAGTCAGCCCCGGGGCCCACGGCCGCTTGGCAGCCCTGCATACAGGTAGTAGTAAGAGGGGCCCCGTGTCCTCTCCGACGCCTAGGCCCCAGGAAAGCACACAGGTGTCACGTCACTGTTAAGGCTTGGTAGTAAAGTCCTAAGTAGTAGTAGGAGGGTCCGGTGCCCCTTTTAATTTGGAGCCCGGGGTTGCGCCTCCGAGAGCCCACTGTAAATAACTAATTTAATATAAATATAGGCAGAATATTTTAGGCCTTTTGCTGTATATATCAAAAATATAAATATATTCAAATTTACTGTACTCATTATTTTAACTCTGATATGAATACAATGGAAATTTGCTGTTTATACACGAAAAGTGGTTTACATTAACATTTTGCAGTTATTATTTTAATACAGAAGTAGAATGGAACAAACTTAATTGATGGAGGACACAAAGACACATGTAATATTATATTTACTGTATTTAACTTGTTGTTATTCCTTAATATAAATAATATATATATATATCAATATATATATAATATATATATATATAAGTATATAGGCCTACCCTAAATCTTCATTTATCACTTGAGTATGTTATTTTCATAGAGAGATGTAATTTCATTCAGATAAAAATCGCACTGATTGATTTCAGATTTGTGTGAATATTTCCCTAGTCTAAAAGGATGGTCTACATAACATGTTTAGCGATCACTTTGACTGCTTCAAACGTTTCAATGGCAGTTGGTTCGATATATCTGTCGGGAAGGGTAAATCCGTATAGGCCAGTATCACGAAGCTCGACGGCGTAGGAATATTTGATACCGAGTTTACCGTACGCCCAGTCTATGCTGGAACCAGATGCTTCATCTAAAAAAAAATTTAAAAAATAAAATTGTTGTAATAGTACGAATTACGATAATGATAGTATAAATAAGTGATAATGATGTTGAGAAAATGAAGATGGAATATGAAGATGATGATAATGATGACGATGATGATAATGAAAATAATGATAAAGGTTATGATAAATGTGATGATGGGGACTGTGATGGAGATAGAGAAAATGATGATGATGATGATGATGATGATGATGATGATGATGATGATGATGATGATGATGATGATGATGATGAAGGTAGAGATGAGAATGAACATTGAGATGGAAGTGATGGTGATGATAATGATCATGACGGTAAGGACGACGACGATGATGATGATGACAATGAAGATGTACAAGAATATATTTATGGTGATAGAGGTGATTTGCGGTGGTATTCTTAGGGCTAATGAGAATGGCGGTGAAGGTGACAGTAGTGATGTTGATGGATGGTGATGATAGTTGACCAACTTGCATAGGTGTCTAGCACCTGTTTGGTTTTTTCCATGCCTTGTTTGTTTAGCTATTTTGTTCGGGATGATGTATATGGCAGAAATTTGAATTTATTTGAATATTAATGTTTGTATTTTAAAAACATGTTTATTTGTTTTTTTGTTTAGAATTCATACAACCACAAAATACAATAGATATAACAACATAACAGAATTCTGGGATAGAAAAACACAATAAAGTAGCCAAACAGCCGACTTATTTCCATTTTGGTCTCCGAAACAATAACTAACACAAAAATATATATTATAAGTTTAAACTAACCATTTGCCTCTGGAAGAAAATAATTCTTTTATCCCACCCGATTTGATAATATTGAATTTAATTTCTTTTTAAAGATTGATATACTATTAATTTCCTGAATTGGACTGTAGTAAATTCCAAAGGCGAATGATTGTAGACAAAAAAATGGATTTACAATTAATACCTTGTTTATCTCTAAAATTTGAAAATTTTGCAAATCTTGTGTTATAATTATGTACATATTTTGCCCTCACAATCCCTTCTTTTAAATATTCTGGACATGCATCATTCAAAATTCTAAACATATTATTTAACTTAATCTGTGGTACTGTATGTGTTGGTTTACAGTATGAAGTATACGTACAGATTGTGTTAGCAACAGTTCCATGCGTATACTTGGTGCCATAAACGGCCGTCAGAGCTTCAACTGCCTTCGATTGCAGATTTATCTGGTCATTGTAGTCACTGCTTATTGGTAGGTCCTTGGTGTAAGACCATGTCGACATCCACATCTGAGAATAGGCATGGAAGTCAATGAAGACACGGATGTCCTTCAAGCTGGCCATGTAATCGGTGACGCTCTTGACTTCGATCTCAGAGAAGGCACTTGATCCGTAATATGCATCGTTGCATGGGAAACGGCTAGCACCGGGCTCTGTTAATACAGATGTTGCACAATATAATTGAAAATTAAGAAGATATGATAACCAAACAATGATATGCAAATTACAGAAGTTCTAAGACACTATTAAAAACAAAAGACAAAGAAGCCATTATTTCTTGCATAGGCGTAGATCCCGGGGGATGGGGGATATATCCCCCACCCCAATATTTGACAAGGGGGGGGGGGGATGGTCCATTGTATCATCCCCCCAATATTTTGACTATGTATGGGATAAAATGGAGCTTTACACACTTCAAAAGACTGTCACAGAAATAATTTGCACTGTCTTATGCGCTTACAAAGATGAAAATTAGCATAATGTATTAATGTTGATAACAAAATTATTTTATCTGGTACCAATCTAAGCTCTTCTTTCATTAGATGTTAGATGTGCTTGCTAAGAGAGCCACATTTCACACTGAAGGGTGTGTACGACATCAGTAATGTTATGTCAATTCCAAGAATGTTTAAGGTTATATCGGTTGATGAGGAATTTATTGATTAGGCCTATAATAGCAAATTGCATCAATTTATTTTGCAAAAACAAGGTTTCCAGCTTCAGATGGGGGCACATCTCCTGTCCGCACAAGGGCATATATTGGCGCTAACACCAGGCGCGTAACAGGGGTCTTGGGTCAGAGTGGGTATTTATTTTTTTATTTTTAAAGAGGGTAACCCTTCTAGTTTAGCCCAATAGGTTAACTGATATTCAGGACCGTCTTTAATAACATTAAAGAACAGTACAAACAACATCCTTACAACATAATAATAATAATAATAATAATAATAATAATAATAATAATAATAATAATAATATAATAACAATAACAATAACAATAACAATAACAATAACAATAACAATAATAATAATAATAATAATAATAATAATAATAATAATAATAATCCCCATATAGAAAACAATACGACATAGGGCTTATTTTATTTATAATATAGGCCACACACTTGTGTTTGAAACTAAATATAAGCATTTTCATCATGGTTTTATTTATTACAAACATATTCTTTCACCATCTATACACATTGAGGCCCTTCTTTTAGGTTAAAATGATCTATCTTAAATCTGTCCTTGAGTTTGGGACTATTATGTGTTTAAATAACTTAAAAGGATAAAACTAAAAAAGCCCTAAAAAATGCGCGCCAAGCGCGCAAAATATTTTTGTGTTTTTAATTCTAATTTCGTCGAAATTGATGAAAACTCCCTAAAATGTGCAATTTATAGAGGAAATTGGCCTACCGTAATGCGCGCAAAGAATTTGAAAATTTTAGGCACTTTCAGAGGATGCATTTGTCAAGGGGTGGAGAAAGATTTTCCAAAGATGAATATTTTCCCCTTGTCCCCTGTTGTTTTTAATGTTAATTTCGTTGGAATTGATCAAAACTCCCTAAAATGTGCAATTTTTAGAGGAAATTGGGCCATGTTAACAAGAAATGCGCGCGAAATTTGAGGTTTTTAGGCACTTTCAGGGGATGAAAGGGCATTTATAAAGGGGTGGGGAAAATTTTTCAAAGATAGATATTTTCACCTTGTTCCCCAGTGGTTACGCCATCGGGCAGCATAGATCAAAGGAGTTATTACAGTTTTTTGAAGTGGAGAAGGGGTTGCAGGGTGTTGTGAGTCTGGTCATTATGATATCTTCCTTTTTATTCTTGTCTTTATTTTTCTCTTCTCTTTTTTCTTTTCTTTTCCTCTTCTTTCTCTTTCCCCCCCTCTCCCCTCTTTCTTTTCTCTTATTACCCAGCCCGGTACGACGGCTTGGTCAGCCCGGTAAAAACCGTCAGCCTCCCCCCCCCCCCCGCGCCTGTTACGACGCCAATCATCCCCCCAATGAAAAATATTTTTCTACGCCACTGATTTCTTGGATGATATTAAGATGAACTTAAGTTATTTTATTACTAGGACTGAATAATTACAGAATGGAGGCTTAGGATGTATAAACGTGGTTGCGAATTCATTGCACTCACCACTCCAATGCCAGTCCCAGTTACGGTTGGGATCGGTTCCTACACAGGATGAACCCGAGTTGGGAGAACGTGTTTTACGCCACATACGATCCTATAAGTAGAAATAACAACATTATTAATAAATAATAATTATTATTATTAGGCATATTTTCGTTGATTTACAAAATTGTTTCATTAAATGGATTAATTATTTAAATATTATAATTATAATAATATTAGTGTGTTATATAAAACGATAATTAATACTTAATTATAGTGATTTAGTGCGAGGTATTGCTCAATGAAAACAATTTTGTAAATCTTTTTTAAATTTGTGAGTGTCAGCTGATATTATGCGACCCTTTACTATATTAACCATGGAGGAAAGATTAATTAATGTTTCCTCCATGTATTAACTATAGTCCAAAGATCTTATAAACACAAGATAGCGTTCTCCGCGATTTACGCGTGCAAATTCTGTAATAAGGCATGAATGGCGCCCTCTTGCTAAATTGGAAACTTTTGACCTTTGACCGCTATGACCATACCGTTCCGTACGAAACATTTACATGAAACTCCACTCGGGCCGTCTCGGCTGAATCGACCCGAAAATCTCATTGGTATAATAGCGCATGAATGACGCCCTCTTGCTAAATTGGAAACTTTTGAACCTTGACCGACGCTTCTATTTGTTACGCGTAAATCGCGGAGAACGCTATCTTGTGTTTATAAGATCTTTGCTATAGTCTCATTGTGAGGCTTAGGGTGTTGAGTTGTAAGGGAAAAATCTGGTGATTAGAACCATGGAGGTATAACTATTTTATACCTCCATGTTAGAACCCATATTTCTGGAATTTAAAATCAAGCGCATCATGAAACCGCCAGGCTGCACCTCTAACAATAAACCTACTTACGCCGTTCCATGTGTAATGATATCCATCAACATTGAAGACCGGAATAATGTAGAAATCTAATGAGTCCATCATGGAGGTGATATCGGTGTCTTTTTTGTAATTGGAAACCAGCTGACCATCGAAAAAAATAAAGAAGTACACATCTATGTTATTAGAATTTGTGGAGCTATGACTGATATGTAATCAATTATTGTCGAATGTTAGATCAATGCAAACATTAGTGATGAAAGACATTTTAATACAGTGGCAGTGGAGTGGGAGTATGCCTACAATATTACGTACCGTATTTTATTGAGACTATTACACCAATATGGTTTTCGGTTATTTTTTTAGTTATGTATTTATTGGTAATAGGAGACGTACTTCAATGTGTATTGTGTATTGAACTTTTTGGCAATGTGATAGGCCTAATGATATTATTATCAAAAAAAAATAAATATACTGTCTTACTGTCAATAATGTAAATACTAGAAAAACAGAAAAATTTATAAAAGTTAAACTTAAAATTTTACAATAAAAAATGTTAGGTCAATGATATATCAAAATGCCAAATGATAGTTTAGTAATTCACTTCGAAGTTTTCAATATGTTTTCCCTTTACACTGATTAACATGATATTGCTAATTTATTTTTATTCAGATATTTATTGTAAATACCAAATGTTTGGTTTATGTAAATAATTGGAAAATGAAAGTAAGATCTTCCCACACGAAAGATAAAAAAATAATTGAGACTTCATTACTTGATATTTATCTTGACAGGAATAGAGAATGTCTAATTCGATATTATTGTTATTGCCCATTTTGTTCATTATCAGTATCATTGTTATTTTCATTGCTATTTCTCTTTTCATTGTCGTTTTCATTATAATTATCATTAGGGAGTTTTCGCATCAAATTTGTAGACAACCTTAGCATATCAATTTTTTTTTAAATTTATATCTGTCACAACATATGCGATTCATGCCGACCTTTATTAGTATTAGCAGGGAGTTGTAACAACTCCCTGGTATTAGCTATAGTATTAGCTATGTTCCGACGATCACTACTATCAGATGCAAGTTAATGAGAAATCCAGTCAAGGCACGAGAATCACACGGATAGTTATATTACTGGTGTTTCAATAAAACGAAGACGACAAAACAGGAATTACATTAGGCATAGGCTAGGCCGAATGCTATGGCGAGGGCCTTCCTGGGCTTATGACTCTTTTTGGTAGGCCATCCCAACTATCGATAAATAAAAGGCATTTAATATGTTTAGCAATTTAATTGTTTCATCTCCACTTGGTAGAGCATTCCGTAAAAGCGAAATAACAGACTCTGAGTTTTTTCTTTTACCTAGCCTAGGCCTACCTATAAACATTAAGAGATTTCTGCAGATTTACCAAGCTAACTACCACATGTTGTTTTGCTAGTGGCTAAAGATAAGGCTACCGTATTAGCTGTAATCTCAGAATCATGTATCCCATTGGCGTTCGCCGTATATCGTTCAGCAGTATCTTTAGACACAGCGAACGAATTACCACGATATGACGCGAATATTTATATGAAGTTTACAACGAACGGTTGTAATACAGGGGTGGCGCCAGCGGGAGGGGGGAAGGTCCCCCCGTCGGGGAGAGCTGAAGAAGAAGCACAAATCGTCGGGGAGAAAAAAAAATTATATGTATTTTTTACATATTAATAGACTCTAAAATCGATTAAATAAGCCTTTGAAACCCCTGAATTGTCAAAATTTTCAGTGGCTTCGCCCCCAGGACCAATTTCGGAACCTATTAATCGAAGCTCTACGACGCCCACTTTACTTTCGTCGGGGAAATCTGACCCCTCGTCGGGGCACCGGCCCCCGTCGGGGACCTCCCCCCCCCCCGTCGGGCAAATCCTGGCGCCACCCCTGTAGTAATAGAAATTTATTCTGTAATGTTTTATTTCGATTCCCTTTGACAATTATAAAGTAAAAAACAATTCAAAAGGGTAATTTTAAAGATGCCTTGGTTAATACTCAACTAGGCCTAGAATTGTCGCTAAAAGGAGAAGTGGTCAAGCTACAGATGTTATTGTGGTAAAACGTTCTTCGGATGAGAGCCTTGCCAATCCGGTCATTTGTCGGTGTTAGCTTGGGGGTTGAAGCGCGTGTTTTCTATCAGGTGATCCCGTTCATACGGTTGGTGTCAACCAGTGGTGGCGCCAGAGGGGAACGTCGGGGAAGCCCCCCCCCCCCCCGACGGTAAGACGAGTAACTTTTGTCGGGGAACAAACAAATAAAAAAAAATTACATGTAATGTTCGTTTAGCCACCATATTGTTTTCATTAAACTATTTGTGTTAACTTTTCATTACAACAACAACAATAATAATAATGATAATGATAATGATAATAACAATAATAATAATAATAATAATAATAATAATAATAATAATAATAATAATAATAATAATAATAATAATAATAATTCAATAAGACTAATTCAATAAGACTAATTATAAATAATTTGCGTTCTGTTATGACAAATGCTCGTTTGGATAGCCTCATGATGCTTGGAATACATCGTGATAGATGAAGCATCCGCGACCATGACAGCGTGGTTGACAGATTTCATGCAAAATTTCCAAAATATAGAATTTCACTTTCAAGAATGAGGGTTTGAAAATAAATTAGATGGTTACATTGCATACTCTTTGTTTCTTGTTTTATTCAAGATGTTTTGGTTTTGGAAGCTGATTTCGACATTAGAAAGCATGGTCTACATGAAGTCATATTATAGTAACTCAATGCATATCAAATACCGGTAAGTAATAAAAATTCGCCATAATTCATCAATTGGACCCCACCGGGGGCCATGTACAGCCCACCTGGCCCCCAGCCAAGTGAGACTCGATTCGCTGCACTAGCCCCCCCCNNNNCCCCCCCCCGTCGGGGCCTTTAGCCCCTCCGTCGGGCATGTCCTGGCGCCATCACTGGTGTCAACCTCATAACAAGCGCTTGTTCGATAACACGATATCACCGTGAGTAACTACACCGTCGGAACAAGGCTTAGGCACGGATGACGATAATGATAATGACGTACAAGCCCGTAGCGTGACTTAATTATGTGGAGGTTCGTTTCAATGGAAAGTGGACCCTTTGGCTTGTATGATCTCCGATATTTGTTTATTTAAATATTTGTTTATTTGTTGTTTTTGTCCTTCTTCTTCTCTACGTTTACCTGATTCTCTACAGGATATTTTAACCCTCCACTTTAAACATTATCAGTTATAATTATCATTTTCATCAACTACTTCAAAATAACCTTTGATTTCTTACCTCATGGGTCATGTAGATCATTGTTGCTGGGGAAACCCATTCGCGTGAATGAATGCCGCCCTCAAGCCAAACAATCGGTTTATTTCTTCCAGAACCGAGCTGAATAATAAATATTAAAAGGTAAATTGAGCGATTGAATATATATATATATATATATGATAATTCCTTTAGCACTCATCTCACGACTGTGACGCATCTGGTCGTCAATGAGGGGCTGGATATCCTCTATAACGATATCAACGATCAAGTTGTACTCTTTAGTGATGGCCAACACGGTTGCTACCATTTGCGGAGGAACCATGATGTCCACGGGTGATCCTGTCGCGCGGATGTCTTTCCAGAAATCTACCTGTTGAAACAAAAATATTTCATAAAAATATTTTTAAAAAAATGAAATATTAAACAATTTTATAATATATATATATATATATATATATATATATATATATATATGTATGATTATTAGAAATGTTATTTTTGACAAGTACATTTATATATGTATGTAAAATTAAAGCCAGATAAATTTGAAAATACCGTATTTATTCAAATAAACGCCCCGCTTTGAATAAACTCCCCCTTCTCCCTCTCCTCGAATAAACGCCTCTCTAGAGCCTTATTTGCAATAAACGCCTCCCTAGACCCGACCGTTATTGTTTTCTTCGAATAACGCCACCTTAAATGACTGTAAACAAATATATAATGGAAGCAACATAATTCTTAACACATTCTATTAATGTTCTACTGTAGAATTACATTTTTTCTGACCTGGTTGGGATTAATACCGTACCTTTACGATCACACAATAACACATTTTCACGGTAATTGTGTGTTGTAGTTCCGCATTTACCGTGGACGTTTATTTGAGTATACCTATCCATTTTACACTAAAAAAAAATTAATAAATAAACGCCTCCATCGAATGAACGCCTCTCTCAAATAAACTCTCCTTAAAAAGTAATTCTTAACAACAAACGCCCCGGGGCGTTTATTCGAATATGGTACATTATTATACTGAAACGGAATGTATCATGCATTAACGCCTTGTGTTAACTCATTAGGCAGCGTTTTAGGCTGACATGGGCTAGCGCCGTTGGTATTTCACCATTACTCATGTTTCATTCTTTTCGGGTTTAAATAGCCTTGTAAGTGGTTTAATGAAGATACGTTGAATAACAAATATAAATATGATAAATATTAAACGGAATTTACTTATAAATTGGAAAACATCGATGACAAGATTAAAATACTAATACCAGATACTATAATGTTAAGATTGTTAATCGTTTTAACGTTTAAATAATATTTATTCAATAATGCCTGTAACAAAGTCAATGTCATTTTAAAATATTGTACCTTATCTTGAATAACTGATTTCAGTTTTGTTAGCATTTGGATCTCATTTTCATTTGTCGGGGTGATGCGAAGTAGCTTATATCTATAAAAAAAAATATTTTAAATATATTGTTAGTCACATATATAAACAAATATAATGCGGTAATGCATCATATGACCTGAATGTTATTGTCGGAAACTAGCGTTGTTCCACATGTGCAAAAGAATATGAAATTTAGATTCGAATTCCCAACGAAGCCTCAGTGGCCCAGTTTGTTAAGGCGTCTGCATATACAACAGAAGGTCCCAGGAGTCTGGGTTGGGAAACCACACCCACATATTTCTCTTTAGTGTTCAAAATTAAATATACATATATGTGTATGTTTTGAGGAGTTGTACAATATATCTATAACGTTATGTTGTACAACATAACGTTATAGATATAGGCTAACAACAAAGTTAAACCGGTAGAGATATGCATATCGGAAGATTCTACTTACCCATCGTATTTTCGTGGTTCAGCGCTGCAAAGCACTATCGCCGTTGCGAGGACCAGCAACCTAACATTCATGGTGACTGCGTTCCATTTCAGAGAATGTACACGGACCACTGCTTATAAACACAGCTTACAACATTTCCTTTATCTTTAAGAGATACATTGTGGAACCTAACAGATGTCCCTGCCAATAAAGGTGATTCAATAAGAATTCAATTTAGATAATTATCAACTTGATTATAAATAAGAGGAATTCCATGTGTATATGCAGAAATTAAATAAAGATAATATGTTTGTTTAGTAAGTTTAGAATATTGATTGTGAAGATATACCTTTCTTTCAATAACGTCAATTAGATATGTTTTACGCCATCAAAACATACCATATGTCTTTTTTCGTCCGCCTTACAATGTGGTGCAGTGTGCAATAGTTCAAAGTCTATTTAAGACACCGCTTGAGTTTGTCATGGGGGAAGGCAATTTAGCTTAGCTAATATTTATCAGGCAGGCTACGACGTATCACGTTATGTTAAATGAAAACATGAATAAGTCCTATAGTAAAGGTTTAAATATTATTTCGATGTACCATACCTTTAAACATGTGTAATCACAGGTGTTGCGGCTTGTTGATGTATTTAAAACTTAAAGATGATAGCGCCTCCTAGGTTACAGCAAAGAATAGTCTTTGGTTACGGGCATAGTACGCCGTAGTTATCAATTGCACTATAATTGCAAAACTGTAGATTTATCGTATTGCGTATATAAGCTCTGATAACAAATATGATAACATTTTCAATATCATAATGCTTTTTATTATTTCAACACATCAGAACCTGTCGTATGGAACGCCGATCCTGTAAAATAATTTGTATGAATAACAATTATTAGGCCATTTTAAGTTTCTATTCCTTTCCAATAAACGTAGCCACTCGATCATAAAAGGTTAGCTTTGGTTTGCACTGGATTCGTTTCTGTAACCAAAGTGGAATTAGCAAAATTAACAATGTCGTTTTTTGGTTTTTGTTTTTTGTTTTTTTTTATTCTGTTCTTTTTTTGGATTTGATTACTCATGTGCATGTATCACTCACAGCCAAACCCACCCACCCATACAGATAGCTTATGGCACTATATATTGCCATAAATTAGGCCTATACGACATAGTATTAGCTAGATTAACTGGGCTGGCTACGGGACTGATGGAATAGTGTTATATAATATTAGACGATTGACCAAACTGATATACTGTATATTTTAATATGGGTGCATATATGCACTTAGTAAATGCCTACTAGGCCTTTTTGATAAATTGTGTATAGGCCTATAATTGTTATCGATTAATGTTGGGTCTTTTTACATTTTAAAAGTACAGTATTATTCTAAATTATATTTTACTGAAATTTTCATACAAAACTGCAGTAAGTGTATCTTGTATAATGGATTTTATTATTATTCAATGAATTTTTCCATTGATTTGTGTGGTTTTTGTATGAATGCACCAATAACGAATCAGTTCAATTCAGCGTAGTTATAATACAGATAAGGCCTACTTTAGAATAATTATGTATATGCCTATAAAAGATGGCGACTGAGACATACATTATCAGGATAGGCTGAATACACTTACCATCTTAAGAATATAAGATTTTTAAATATCACCAGCATTCTTGGTTTCAAAGGTCTTTATAATTTACGTTAACAGAATTTGTTCGTAGAAGTGAGTGTTGTGAGGTCAGGCGTTTTTACTGGAAAGCCAAAAGCAATATTTTTCTAAACTCTGCTGTTGTGTCCTTTCCCAGACTCTGGGAAGAGCTGCCTCCTCTGCTTCAAAACTCTGTTAATATTTCCTCTTTTAAGAATGATTTAGTTAAGCATTTTATATCTTTATATGTTTCTGATTAATTCTGAGTTTTTTTGTTGTACTGGTGTATTTCATTATATGAATTATAGGGAGCAATTCCTCTTCGGGCTTTCGCCTGTTCTCTATCCGGGCAATCCATGTTGTTTCGATTCTTTTGCCAAATAAATATTATTATTATTATTATTATTATTATTATTATTATTATTATTATTATGCATGTTGACGAGAACGATGTGCAGACGATCTCACACAAATGCGAGGTGCTGTCGGTGGACGAATACAACCAAAGAACCAAGAAGATCAGCGGGAAGTGTAAAGAAGATATGTATTACTTAGCTGGAACGTACGACCCAACTAATGGCCATTTGGTTCCAGTATCACAGATGGAGAACTTTAAATAAACAAATCTTGAGTTAGCAAATTGTAAACCGAGTTTTTTTTTCACATTGATAGGCCTTTCTCTTATTCACATCTAGATTTGTATAAGAGACAGTTATTATTATTATTGTTATTATTAATATTATTATTATTATTATTAATATTATTATTATTATCATTATTATCATTATTAATATTATTATTATTATTATCATTATTATTATTATTGTTATTATTAATATTATTATTATTATTATTAATATTATTATTATTATTATTATTAAAAAAGCCGGGCGCTCACTGCGTCGTACGACGGTCCTCGAGACCGCATTGGCGTAACGCCTATGCGCTCTCATGCGGTAGTCCGCCATTGTACATTTTATAATATCAGCCCCACCAGGGCAACAGCATAATGTGTGTCTCTGAAATCGACTGTAGGACATATATCATATTATATCCAGAGGAGGGTGGGGGCTGCCGGCCCGTTGCCCCACTATTTGTCAAAATATTTTTTAATGAGAATAAAAAGAAAATTATATTCACAATATCATGTCTCCGTGAGTGCCATTTCCAGCCATCTAGAGGTGCCATAATCATAAATTTTCGTAAATAAAATTGGTACGACGAATCCAACTCCGCTCCTTGCACTGATGACACGACGCCGTCTGCTTACAAACAGAAGTATGGTACAAGGTGCAAAATAAAATAAGTTTGGCATTTTGTGCATTGAAAGCTTATCAAACACGACGCAATGAGACGATTAATTGAAGTATTAGCTAGAGGTATTGAAGTATAATTTATACCGCACACCATATTTTTTTTTATTGTTTATTACCTTCAATGAACTATTCAATTAAGAGAAAGATTATAATTAAACAAAGAAAACCACGAATAAAGGAGAATAGAAAAAAAATGAGCTATGCTCACAAAAGAAATAGGCCTATACAAAATGATGTCATATAGGGGCCTAAATTTTAAGAATGATTATCGACATGTTTTACATTTTTAATGAATGAATGAATAAAAGTGGTAGTACGCAGCAAAAAGGGAAAATAAAGTCTCATTATGTTTCTGTCATTGGTTTTCACGGTTAAGATTAATATTGCATTGTTTAATTGTTTAGTGTTACATTAATTGTAGCGGCAGTTTGGCGCAGCGGTATAGGTTCGAACTTTCAATCGTAAGGTCGGGGTTTCGAGTCTCCGCTGTGCAGATTCGCTTGTGTCCTTGGGAAAGGCACTTTAGCTACATTGCTTCAGTCCACCCAGCTGTATCAATGGGTACCAGCAATCCAGTGGGAGGACAACTCTCATCTGCTTCACACTACAGAAACTGGGGATAAGCTTCAGCCCTATGAACCCCAGTGGCTCGGAAAGGATTTAGTAGTAGTAGTTTAGTTACATTAATTGATTGAGTGGTGTTTCTATTACAATTGGTGACCTAATTGGTGACCTTGGTCTTTGGCAGTGATCAATATTGATATTGATTTTGGTTCATATGAGCCTACGGCATTTTATTTTGTTTAGAATTCAGATTTTTGTGAAAACTCATCAGAAACTGAATGTTTCCCGGTAAAATTGTTGTTAAATTGCAGTAAATTGACCACCGACCTTCTGTTATTTGATTGGATTTTAATTGATTGCGGATTGCTTGTAGATTGATTATGGATTTTGCCCATAATAATAATAATAATAATAATAATAATAATAATAATAATAATAATAATATTAATAATAATAATAATAATAATAATAATACTAATAATAATACTAATAATAATACTAATAATACTAATAATACTAATAATACTAATAATAATACTAATAATACTAATAATAATAATAATAATAATAATAATAATAATAATAATAATAATAATAATAATAATAATAATAATAATAATAATAAAACATTTATATAGCGCCAATACAGCGACACTTTTGATTTTAACTAATATATGTACAGTACATATATTATATACCGGATATCTTCCTACACGGTAACAATTGCTTATAAAAAAAAAATACTACAATTGAACATTTGCCTAATATTTATTAAAAATATATATCAATGTGTCTTCGAAGAAATGATAAATTCCAGCTATAATATCTATTAAACGACGCAAGTTCTGATACTACAAAATATGGTTCAAAACAACTTTAAGTCCTTCGAATGTTTCAATGGCCGTTGGTTCTATAAATCTGGGTGGAAGTGAGAATCCGTACCAGCCCTTATCGCGAAGCTCCACTGCGTATGAATATGTAATGCCCAGCGCACCATATGTCCAATCCACACTGTTTCCTGATGCTACATCTGGAGATAAAATACAATAATATTAATCTACATGATAATATACCAGTAATGTTTGTATTTGCCTAATAAAATCATAAACAATATAATTAAATATTGTTGTTCTCCATTTTTATTTGTCGACTTTTAAAAACTAGAACGAGAAAATAATATCATAAATTTAAACAATAAAATTCAATATTTGTGCTTGCAATATCAGTATTCATAGAAACCAAATGAAGTTATTTGAACATTTTAAAGTGCTTGTGTTAATTTAAAAAAAAAAGTCCGACTGTTCAGAGGCGCCATAATCACAAATGCTATAACCTGAGCCCCAACCAAGGACTTGGCTTGGTCCAGACTCTCTATCTGTGGAAGCCCCCCCCCCCAACTATGTCAAATTTCTTGATCCGCCACTGATCTCTATAACTACATTGACGAATCTAGATTAGGGATTCGATCATTAATTCTATGAAGCCTAAATCATCTTTCAGAGATCAACCATCTGGTGTGTTATCTTTCCTTACAGTTTTGGATATGTATAATTTCAATATCTTACACATCGTATTTGCTATCGGTCCATGCGTGTAGTTAGTTCCATAGGCAGCGACCACGGCAGCTACCGCGTCTGCCAGCAAATTGTTCTGATCGTCAAAGTCATCGGGTCGGGAATTTTCGGTGTAACCCCACGGCGACATCCACATTTGTGAGTACACAGACCTATTATATAATATAACATACTGCATGGGCCTACATATTTGACATAGTCCTACATACGAGTACTGTAAGATACTTCGATAATGTATAAATATGACTGTTAATGGATGTTTATAAGAAAGAAAAAAAAATTAATTTGCAGAAAAGAAATGCTTATATATTGTAAATTGATTGAAATTAATGGTATATGTAATATATTTGTTATGGCATGTAACAAGAAGTCAGATTAATCTTTTACAAATTGTCGTCTTATATTATGTTGGATTGTAAACACTGTTCTTATTGTATTGTTTAATTAAGATTAAAGAAATATTTAAACTATTTAAGTTATTGTTATTAATGAAAAGAACATATAATTTACAGAAAAGAAATAGAATATTCAAAATAAAAATTTTCCGTTGAATTTTCAACTTCTCTAATTTAAGTACAATAGGCATATGAATTATTATTTTTGAGCCGATGATGTTAAAGAAATATTTAATTGTGTAATTTGGGTGTTCCATTTACAAGCTACATGTATATATGATATATAGACC